TTGTTACACTTTGTTTTAATCGAACCTCAATTCACCTTTTTCTGGAACAGGTTTTGGCAAATCTTATTTCAGACACTGTCAGTGTCCTTAGATGTCAGTTGTTTTCCTTCTTCCATCATTCCTCAGAAATGATTATCAACTACATCAGTTGAGAAATTATCCATATTTGCTCAGAAATGATTATTATCTGAAGCATATACACAAGCCGTTTTGGATGAAATCCTCCTTTACAAAGAGTCGTTTGATAGCTGATGTTCCATACACATAGCTACTAGTCAGTGGATGTGCTAGAAGGAGGTTTCTTGCATTCTGTGCATAATTCTTTTCCTCACGTATATTCCCATGTTGATGCTGTTTGTTCACCAAGTATTATTCTGTTCCCACAACAAAATCTCTGAATCCTAGAGGACATCAGATCTGTTCCTTTTCCCATTCTATTTCCCCAGATGCATCTCAGAACGCAAGACTGCAAGACAAAATCAAAATTAACAGGAACTTGTACTGAATGGAAACAGTTGGCATCTGTAAAGTTAATGCTTTGAAATGTCAATTATAATTAAATTCAGTAAAGAGTATTGAGTGCCAACTATAACAGTGCACCATGGTCAGGATTTGGAGATAATAAAGAGGATTAAAGTGTGCCCCCTCCAACCGCAGGTGTTCACAGTCCTATTGAGGAGAAAGATAGGTGCCTAATTATAGTAGCACAGAGCATATATACTGTCATTTACTATTTTTTTAAGTTGCTTTGCTGATGCAACTTATTTCCAACTGCTTATCTAACTGACCTTTGGTGGGTCAGGAAAATACTTCATCTTTCACACTGATATTTTTATTTTCTTCACTAAATAATAAGTAAATAGGAAATTGATTTTTATTTATCTGATTACACTATTAATGGTTTCTATATCCAGATCTCAACAAGGTTTTGTCATTTCTTCAGGTTTTCCAGAATCCTACAACCTGATTATAAGACATGATCTATTTAGAGTCTTTTCAATGGTGATCAGTTATCACTCTGTGTCTTATTCTTCTGAAGCAGATACTTAACAGAAGTTTCAAAGCTGACAACTCATGTTTATTATCTCCAAAGAGATGCTTTTACATTAAAGTTTAATATTATTTTCTTTTTCTGTTCTGTCAATAAATTTTAGTTTATTATTGAATGACTGTGTTTTGCTTACTTCAAGTCTTCCATTGAACCACTGACATTCACATTCACAGGTATGGACTCTTATTTCTAGGGAAAGGTTAGCAGTGAGTAGCCTCTGCTTCAATACATGGATTTCATTCCATTTGCAGAGCACTTCTGTATAGCCTGAAGTAGAGGGACTTCAGTAAGTGCAATTAGAATATCCTTGCACATAAACTGTTAAAAAAATAAACACAGGCCATGCCTGCATTCAATTCACAATATTAAAAAAAAGGAGGATATAGTTATGTTACAGTGTTTCCAAAGAGATTATCCAGAACAGAGGCTCAGCTTGATGCCAATCTTTTACATGCACTGCCAGACTAAACAAGTACCCTTTAAGGTTCATCCATCACGATCTGTGACACATTAAACCAAATCTGTTGTTCTCTCAGGCTGGTGTTAGGGGATTTTCAATATTCAGACTGAGAAATTACATTTGGGGAAAGGGATTTCTCCTCTCCTTTTTCCATAGAATTTCTTTAGTTCTATAGAGCCTTGTTAAGTCTGTTGGACCTCTGTTATATACTCCAGTCCTAATCGCTGATTTGTTTTAAAAGTTTGAAATCTTAACTGGTAGCAGGAAATGACTTTAAATTAACATGACATAAACTACCATAAATTGTTCACTGAAAAAGAGAGTGTTTAATTATAAACGAAGGGACCTGCTGCCCAGTTGATTAACTATATTAAACACTTTATATTTTCAAAACTCGGGCACAATTGTTAATAAGCTATTTCTCACTATGTCTCTAAGGGAGCCTAATTCTATCACCTTCTATTTTTATAAATGATGCACTTGACTCATGAAAATTAGTTTGCCCATCTTCGACATGTAGACATGAAAAACTGGAATTAGGTTGCAAGTTCTCAGTGTACCCAGAGCTAATTTACAAAACTATGCTCTTAGTTTTCTGAACTGATTAAGAAAACAAAATTTATCTGTCCTGTACTCATATTATATATGAGTAAACATACACAGTTTTGTCTGAACATTTCTTTTTTGCAAAACCAGTCATGTTATTTTGTTATAGGGACAACATAAACAGAGAAATGACTCTATTAAATAATCTGTGTTACTTACTCTGATATTCCTTCACTTGAGCTCACTTAGCAGACTTACTTGTTTCACTTTTCCCTTTAGATTCTGTGTCATTCAAAACACCAGTACAATTAACTTAGGACAAATCATAGAATTATATGATACTAAGATGAACCAATGTTTTTTTGCTGTCAATTCATTCTTAAAAGCATACTTGATTATATTTCTTTCTACTAATTTGTATAGTTATATATTATATAATTTTATTAATTGATTATGGGCTTATAATCTCTAATATTTTTACTTTGGGTTTTAAAGTTGTTTTTTTTATGAATAAATAGCCTATAACACATAATACAGCTATTGATTTCATATTTTTATTGGTGTTTTTTGAGTTTAGTATTTTAAATCTAATTAGGCTGGTGAGTTTGCAGTTCTCTCAGTGTCACTTTAATATGTCACTATGAAGAGCACAGAAGTAGAAAACAATAGCTGCATGGTAAATAAATGACAACCACTTAAACATCTCAGTTTTGTGTATGTGTGTTTATATATACCAACCAACATATATCTTTGTAATGAAAGCTATTCTAAAAAGTATCCCATCTGAAACCTGATATTAATCATATAGTTATTAATAAATTAATATATGCAATATTAACATTTTCAAAATTATGACAAAAATTCTGTTATTTCTCTTTAAAAACAGGCTAAAGAAAATTGTTAGCAAGTGAAAGGAAACTCTCATTTAAGTTATAGTGCTAACAAAAGTAAATGCTCTCCATATATTTTTAGATCTGTTTTTAAAAGAAAAGAATATTTTATACTCATATAATTTGCTTTGTACTGTAAAACTTCAATTACATTGGCATTGTGTGAATACAATTATTATATGACAAATGTGGTAGCCAGATATGGACATTTTCATCACATTTCCCTTCCAAAATACAATGTAAAGTCATACTTCAGTGCCTGTGTAAATATAAATATATGATTCTAGGTAACAGAATACCAAAATGTATCCTAATTTCACCCTAGAGTAACTTACTGATAAAGATATGGTTAGAGATAAATAAGAGTCATAAGTTACATTTTACTATGGAAAAATGGAACAAATGACAATATAAGAATGTGATTTAAGTGTTTGTCTTCTCATGTTTGTATTAAGATTAAAACTTAGTGCATTTTCTAAATAATTTAGGGAGGCTCTTCTCTGAGATTGAAACTTCTTCAAGCATATAAAACATTTCATAGCTATAAATGTTTGTGGTTTCTCTAGACATAAGTATCATAAGTGTTTTGTGCCTAGGTTGGCCTCTAATCTTTGAATATGCCAGCTGCAGTACATGAGGACCATGGTTATGTCTGTTTGGTTCCTCACGTAATCAGAAAACCTAGCTGCTTGGCTAGTTTTGAGGAGGATCCTCAAAACAAATATATTTTAAATGAAAAAGAATGACACAAACATTGTTTTTTTCATATTCATTTGTATCTTTTTATTAAGATGCCAACAAGAAAGCAGATGAAAATATTTGAGGCTAAAGAGAAAAAACAGAAAAGTTTTTAAGATTTAAAAGTCTATTGAGCTCTAGTTCATTCTGCATGATTCTAGAGATTTTCAATGCTCACTGGCTTTTATTGGACTAACTGATGTAATGATAGTTAAACTAAGGAGAGTTTACCCAGAATGCTGTTATCAGCCTTCTAGTATCTGCAGGTCCACTAAATTCATGGCAGTTTTGACAATATTATTACATATTTAGGCTTAACGGTAAAAGTGAATGATGAATATTTTATCCTGATAATTGGGTTTCACTGTATATGTTTCATCGTATAGGGATAGTGATGTTAAAGAAGAGGGAAATGGGGAAGATGATAAAAAGAAAAATGTGTATATAGGAGAATCACTGTCACAAAAAAGAGCAAATGCTATTCCATAGTGAGCACCGTGGCATCATTCAGAGTTCAGGCCCTTAGCAGAAGGCCTATTGATGCTCCCTTGGCAGCCTTCTGGTAGTCATTACGAATGACACTGTGAAAAAAACACTGCTGTGCGTGTACAAACCTCACATGTTTTGTAAGCTATCTGTGGAGAGGTTCTTTTGGATATCTGCATTAGAGAGCCAACAAACAGTTTTAACTGGAAACATCTATGTATGGTAAAATAGAAAAGTTCACAGTAAATGTTTTGAAAATGCTTTTTGCCCCAGGTTTTCTTTTCCAGTTCAGATTATTTCAGTATATAACCATGTCTCATGAATGTGAATGGACTCAAATATTGCCAAACTAGTGTTGGTCAACATGTAGATATAACCTTAAGAGAATGTTCATAGGTCCTTTGTGCAATATTTGAGTTGTTTGAAAAAGTATACAATAAGTAGTGACATAGGGAAAGAGTTAGACTAAATGAGACCCATAGTCTTACTTTTAATGCCCTATGACTACATAAAGTCCTTCATTTGTTCAAAATTCAATGTCAGCGTTTAATTGTACATAGACTTAAGGTATTACTTTTGATATCACTGGAAAATATTACCAAATTTATAAAAATCAGTGTTTAGAGTCTTTAAGTGACTCAGGTTTTTTATATTACTTCTGGATTACCTGAATGAGGTTTACTGGTATGCACACTACTTGGATATAACAAAGAAACATATGTACACTTCATTTGGTTTTACTTTAAGCTCAGAGATGATGATCTAGAATGAATGAATCCCTAAAGTTATGAAAGTAACACTAACTCCTTATGGAATTTTTATGTTGTAGCATTAAAAAAAGGACGATTTTGGATCACACCAGATCCTTATCACAAAGATGACAACATCCAGATTGGCCGTGAGGTGAAAATATCTTGCCAAGTAGAAGCTGTTCCTTCTGAGGAGCTAACATTTAGTTGGTTTAAAAATGGTCGTCCATTAAGAAGTTCTGAACGGATGGTTATTACACAGACTGATCCTGATGTCTCTCCTGGAACAACAAACTTGGATATCATTGATTTAAAATTCACGGATTTTGGGACGTACACATGTGTAGCATCTCTGAAGGGAGGAGGAATATCTGATATCAGTATTGATGTTAATATATCCAGCAGCACAGGTAAGAGGCATATATTTATGATGTAAAAGATGTACGCATTTAGAATAATTGAAGTTCAAGAGATCTAATAGTTTTTGGTTAAAAATATATTTTTCCCTTTTAAGTTTCTTAAAAACAAAATTTTAATGTTCTGAATGCTCAATGAATACTAGGTTCTGAAACACTGTTTCATCTATTTTGATTTAGAGTTACATGAGATTTTACAGAAATCATCCAAATAAAATTAATAGCATTGACTAAGATAGATATAGGCTTCTAGGTTAAGTAATACTACTATTTCATGAAAATACCCTGAAGAGTCTAAAATTATATTAAGTTAAACAAATGTCTAGAGTTAAGACAATTATCAGAAATTTTAAACAAAGCATAACTATATAGTGCTAAGAAGAAAATATTGAGAGAGAGTTTAGGAGTCTTCAAATACAAAATATATAGGAAATGTACCCTTTACTAACAAAAACTGATATGTGAAAGTTGTAGTCAGATGTGATTGTTTTGCAGAATCATATGGTGAAATCTCTTCATAATGAAAATGGTTAAGTACAAAAATATATTGGAGTGAAATTCTTGGTTGAAAAGTTAAAAACGAAAACATGTTATTAGTTTTTTTCTTGATTAAACGTACATCTGTCGACAAGGAAATTACAGGGATTTGGTAGCAGAGGGTTCATTCAGATGCTTTAAAGCCCTGTGATTCTATGAGACACGATCAGCACGCATCTAGAGTTTCAGAGTAGCTGTATTTGTTTTGCCAACTTGTTACCAAAATGAATTTAATGGAAGATTCTTACATCATGCGAGATAAATAATATGTGTTGAAAACATAGAGACGAATGTGGTAGACACATGATCAGGCATCATTTTGTCTCTTGTACATTGAGGTGTTCACCTATAATTTTGTGCCTTCTCATGGTTCCAAATTGCAGTGCACACTGGATTGATTTTACTCCTTAAGAATAGAAGTTCATGATTCAGGCTGACAAAAATGTGCTAACTTTGCACAGTTGTACTTTGTTCCTAAAAGATACTCAACTTTTATCATCTACAACTAAAACAAAAGGAAATTAGGGTGAGGAAAAGTACTTGCGTTTGGACATTATTTCTTTTCTAGCTTAAAAACAAGCTAGAAGCAATGAAAACATATTTTTAAAATCTAACTGATATTTAAACATTGGTGCTGGCGTTGAGATGGATTTATTTAGGGTAACTGAGGGAAAGATGTTGTTAAACACAGTTATTTATTTATGTATTCAATCAACAAATATCCATTGTCTTCCTGCCTCATTGTGTTAGGTGACACTATATTATATGACATTCCACATGATATTTCCTGTAAGAGAGTGAGAGCAATTTTGTAAGATTCAGGATCATTTGTCCTTATTTTCTAAGGGATGGCTTTCCAGAAATATTCCATACTTAAAACCATTGCTTTGTTTTTTTTTTTT